TTCAATAATACTTTGTTTTTCTAGTTCACATGTAAGAACTAGAACTACATTTCTTTCTTAAAGTATTCTGAAATTTAAACCTTATCATATACCTTCCCTACAATATCCCCATGAAGAATATTTCATTATATGCTAAGAAATAATAACCCTTTATGTGTGTGAGCAATGTACCCTGCAGTACTACAAGAAACTTACAAATTCATCACTTCCGCCAATCATCACAGCAACCCTGGGAGGTATGAAAGGGAAAATGTTTTGCCCACATTTTACAAATAAGGCAACTAAGGCTGAAAAAGGTCAAGTGACTTGCTAAGGGTTACTATAGAGCTAATAAGTGATGTATCCAGCTATAATCCAAGTCTTCCACTATTTGCACAAATGATATAGCATCTCAGGTAAAAATATGCAAAACAGAAGATATTACAAAGAAGAGGCATCTTCTGTCTCAGCAAACCTACAATAAAAATATTTCACTCTTGCTCAAAACCAGTACTGTAGAAAATGGATCATCCTGGACTCTCAGAGAAATTTATTCCTTTTTATTAATAATAACTGATAACTTAATGTCTTTTACCATTTTATTCCAAAGCAAATAGATGAAGTCTGGCGCGAAATGAGATGGATCATGGATGCTCTACAGTATGCAAGATATAAACAACCTGTTTCTGGCTTGCCCATCACTAAGCTGATAGACCCCTCAGATGAGCAGAACCTCAAGAAGATCAATTCTACATCATCACATATAGACTGTCTTCCATCACCATCCCCATCCCCAGAGATGCACAGAAGAAAGGCAGTGAGTGGTAAGCAAGGAGATCTTAAGTTCTGTTGTTTGGTCATCAGATTCTTGGTCCAATCTCTGCTGATGAGGTTGGTTGTGCTGAGGCACTGGTTCCAGCAAGTGGTAGGAAACACTGCTCAATGGTAAGAGTCTAAGAGAACAGAGGGAATAAAATCAGAACAGTGGAGGGATAGGAAACTAGGGCAATAACCTGAGATCAACTCCATTTAGGGACAGGAAAGATTCATTCCAGTTTTAGCCCATGCTTCCAAGATATAAAAGGACACAAAGCAGGGATATGGCTTCAGACATGCAGAATGGGGACCACTGTGGTACCAGGTGAGAGCCACACCAGCCATGGGAATCTGACCAAAACCAGGTAGGGGAGGAAAACAGACCTAACCTCTATTAAATAGGAGCTGACAAGAATCAGGCAGGAAGCAGATTACAGCCTGGGTAAGAGTTCAGGACAAACTTCCCATCCACACAGCACCAATGATCTGGGGTGGAAGATGAGGAAGAAAGAAACTTTGGATAAACTAGAATCCTGAAACTGAGTCCAAATAAGTAGCTGGGACCTCATCATAGGTACGATGACCTTACAGACAAGCTGGAGGAGATGCCTGGCAAGGCACAGCCACCCTTGGGAATTAAGTCTCACAGCAAAAACATGACTGGGTTAACACAAATTTCTACAAAATATCTATGCTTATAAGCAGAGAGAAAGCATACTAGGTAAAGGCAATATAATGCTCTTGCCTAGACATGTTGAGACTAATGCCATTTTTCTAGTCAATTAAAATAATGACCATTCAAAGCATCTTTCTTGATTCTATAGCTTATAAGAGTACCAATTTTTTAAGTTTTATACTATTTTTAATAAATAGTTTTGGTTTGTGAGCTTGTCCCATAGGGGGCAGCATGGTGTAGCAGAAAGATTTTGGGGCTTAGAAATCAGAGACCTGGATTCAAATCCCAGCTTTGTTCTACTAGCTGTATGAGCTTCAACAGATTACTACATCTGAGCCTCAGTTTCCATGTATGTAAAATGAGAATAATAATGTATACACCTTGAACAGTTACTTGTGAATAAGACAATCTATATCAGAGGTACATGGCATATAATAGACAATATATTGTAGATATCATATTTAATATTATTCTTACTATAGAAAATTTTAATGGTGAAATGAGCCTTTTCTATAAGTAAGTTTGTGTGTGCGCCTGTTTTAAAAACCCCAATGTGTAAAAATCAAAACTTGGCAAATGAAAGAACTTAGGAGATAGCTAATTTACGTTACCAAAGGAATCTATGATTTAACAAATAATTCAACAAAAGAATTATTTAAATAGAGTTTCTAGGGGGTATTTTTATAGACTCCCACTGAGCCAGGGACACAAATCAAACATCATCCCTGCCAGAAGTGAGGCTAATGAAAGAGACAGATACATTAACAAAAAATTACCTGGTAATTGCATATGTGCTATGGAGTCTAGTGGAGGCGTTAAACCTTAAACTCATAAGATCAAAGAGTGCTTCCTGGAGGAAGTGACAGAATCCAGTATTGAAGGATAAGCAGGAATTGGGCAGAAAAAGAAGAAAGAGAAGAACATTATAGGCAGAGGAAGAAGACTGTACAACTGCGTTGTAGTTTAGAGAACTGCAAGCAGTTTGGCTGAAACTCAGAATCTAAGGACAGTATTCATTTTTTATGTTAAAAAAAATTATTGGTTACCCACTATGTGCCAGTACTCTTCAAAGGAACATGGATATAGCGGTAAGTAAAGCAAAGTCTCTGTTCCCATAAGCTTATATTCTAGAAAGAGGGACAAACAATGAAAATATAAACAAACAAGATAATTTTGGATAGTAAAAATTTCAATACAAAAATAGCAAATAATAGCAATAATACAAAATAGCAGGTAGGCAAGGAGAGTGTTGAATTCACTAGGATGATCAGCAGAGACCTATCTGTGAAAATGCTGTTGGAACCAACCTCAGAAGTAAGAGCCAGTAATGCAACCTGGAGTTGGAATGTTCTAGGCAATTAAACAGCAAAAGGCCTTGGGATGGGTGAGGAATGGAAGGAAAACCAACATCCTTGACACACAGTGAACAAAAGGGTGAGTTGTAAAAGACAGGGGAGAGAGAGAGGTGGGCCAGAATGGGCAGGGTTCTGTGGGCCATGGTAAAAGGTTTGGATTTTATCCTACTTGTGACAGAAAGCTATTGAAAACTTTTAAACAAAGATTGATATGCTCTGAATTACTCTTTAAAATCAAGTCTGGCTGTTATATGAAGAGACCACAGGGGAAAAATACCAGAAGCAGGGAGACCAATTAGTAAGCTATTAACAAAAGAGATACCAAGTTTTCTGACATGGGTGCCTCAGGGTATCATGATGCCATTTACCAAAAAAAGGTAAGAAAGGAGGATAAACAAGCTTGGGTGGTTGGCCATGTTGAAATTGAGTTAGTTTTAGAACATTTCAACAAAAAGTAACATTCAGGAGAAAACAAGATGTAGAGAGTCTGGAACTTAAGAAAGAGAGCTGGGCTAACAATATAGATTTAAGAATTTGTTGACATGTGAATGATGTGTGAAGCTTCGAAAATGCTTGGGATTCCCTAGAAAGAGTAGATAGAATAAGAAGAGGAGAGTATGGAAGGATCACTGTGGAATGGGGCAGCGAGACCTCACAAACTAAGAAGGAACAACCAGAAAAAGAAGATTAAAAAAAAAACAAGAGAGTAGTGTCACAGAAATCAAGGTGTGTCAAATGATGGAGAAAGGTTAAATAAAATAACTGAAAAACTGTTGTTTCACTTTTTTTCGACAAGGAAATCATCAGTAATCTTGATGAGAGCAGTCTGTGAAAGGAAAGAGATAGAAGCTGAACAGAAGTAGATCAGGGAGTATATGAGAGGTGAAGAAGTGGGACCAGAAAGATTCACTCTTTTAAAATCTTGGCTGTGAAAGGGAAGGAGGAGGGAAGGTAGTTGCTGGAGAAGTGTAGGGTTGAAAGAGCATTTTTTAAGGCAGGAAAGCTATATATGCTATGATGTTCCACAGTTCATTTAATTCTACAAACAACTCTTCAATTCTATTTCCACCTTCACAGCCCTAGTCTGCCCTCTCAGCTCACAGAACTTTCCCAGTGTTTAATCTTCTCTTGGCCCCAGGGTCCTATGTGGATTCTTCCTTGGCTGTATGAGGGTGGCCTTCGCTATGCTATAGAAATGCCAAACTCTCATGTTGGCCTAAGGATGGGTTGCACACACTCCCTGCTGGGAGGATCTGGCCAATTACATTTGGATTTTATTATTAACTTAAAATGTGAGCGATCATCATTCTGTTTCTTAAAATATAACTCTCTCTTGGGTCCATTTATTTCTTTGAAGCCTAGATTCCACAGGCTACGAAACACAAAGATGTGGAGGGCAGCAAATGACAAATGGAATCCAGTGACAGGGAAGCACTGTTGAGAGCTGGGGAGAAACATTTAGTGTCCTATCCCCTCACAAAAGCAGAAGCCTTTCAGAACAATGACATCTGTCACTGCATACTCGGTCCTTTCCATTAGTGTGACCACTTTGAATTGTTTGGAAACCATTTATGAAGGGGAAAATATCCAATTTAGAGGAACATCCCCACTGGGTTACTCACAGGGCAAAGTTTGCAGCACAATTCCATTCTGTGTGGGTAGGGTTCACTAACTTCTAAGGGGCCTGCTGGAAATACAGAGCCTACTGCAAACCTAGCCTCTGGTGCCAGTCCAGGATTCTGTTTTAAGGCTATGGAGTACCATGGACTTGTTTGTGCATATCTGTTGGGGGTGGGGGAGGAGGGGAGTGGAACTCTTTAACTTATTTCCCATTTTTGTGTGGTTTTCAAAACACAAAGTAGAACTCCTCTGAGTCAATTAAAATTAAGCATCTCCCAAGGATCCAAGGGGGAAAGTTGGCTCCTAGAAAAGGCAGCTCAAGGCAGGGGGTGGAATGATTTGGTCCATCACATGGGTATTTTCTCTCCCACTCCTTTTCTGTGGGTATAGTGGTCACAGGCAGCAGCAATTTTTTTTTCCGATACTGCTGTTTCTCCTAGTGACGCATGGGGGAGGCTAAAGGGGAGGGGGGCGTTGTTTCAACCTTCAGATGCGTTTGAAGATTATCCTGATCTTCCATATGTAAATCTTCCTGATAACCTTTTCCCAGATGATATTAAGAACATTATGGCATAAACTAAACAGTTCAAAATATCAACAGGAATCTGGAGATATTATTTCTCTCGGGAAATTAGAAGGTGAACAAACCCCTGAGCCCTGATGAGGGATTCAGCAAAATTCTTCATTTATAAATTATTTAAATTCTATTCAAACACTGTGGAAATAGATTCACTAAACTAAACAGTTCAAAATATCAACAGGAATCTGGAGATATTATTTCTCTCGGGAAATTAGAAGGTGAACAAACCCCTGAGCCCTGATGAGAGATTCAGCAAAATTCTTCATTTATAAATTATTTAAATTCTATTCAAACACTGTGGAAATAGATTCACTGAAGCACATATATAGAGATATATACACATACAGTATATATAGATATATAGATATGGATAGTGATACATTAAAAATGTGAAGCTAGATTTTAGAGCAAATATGACTTATTATTCCTTTCTTTCTGTCCTGCCATGCCCCCTGCCTTTAAGAGAAAAGCAGTAACTTTAAATCAATTATTGTTTCCTGAAATGTCATCTACTCACAACGCCCTCAAAATCCACACCAACTCTTCTCTGCTGTTGTTGGCCTAACCCACAGAGACCAGGAGTTACAACATCCATTACAATGGCAAGAAAGTCAAGCTTCCTAAGCCAGCACTAATACTATGGGCAGAACTTTCATCAAACAGTTCCTGGGTCAACCAGAGGGGACACTCAAGGTGGTACCAGTGCCGGCCTGCCTAGTGGGCCCTCTGAGGGAAATTGAGGAGTACACCAGGTTTATTAAAATAACAACTGGGCAA